AAAGTGTTGTTGTGTGTATGTGTAACATCGGAATTCTCTAACAAACTTAAAAGAAATACATTGTCTATCTCGTTTAAACGAAAAATAAAGTAAACTCATGTCATTCAAATTAAAATATTGATTGGAAATAACTTGGTTCTTTCATTGATTATCAATTCATCATTTTTCATTTCTGTTTGTGGTGAGAGTCTACTTAACGTCATTAGAAGGCATATTGTTCTGGCAAAAGAAACGTGATCGCCAGATGCCCGCATTGGCATAGATGTTTCGTAAAGAGCAACATTTTCAGAAGTCCATCGATATTTCACTACTGGTTCGATTTTATGACAAATTTTGTAAATAAGCTTTGAGGGTCCCCTTTACGTCAGTATACGGCACATGACGTTAGTTTAAAAAAAATGACTGCCAGATAGGCATTTTAGCAGACAAGGCGATTTCGTTTGCTTTATTCATACATTCTTTTTCTCTTTTGCAAAACGGTATGCCTTTTTAAAACTTTTTCACAGATCACAGTGAGCAACCTAAAGGTCGTATTTGTCAGTGAAATAACTTGTATGGCAAGTTTATGAATATTGTTACTGACTCCTTAAAAAGGCGAAGCACAATTACGCGGATACAAATAAAACCAAATTATATGACAGATCATATGATTTCTGACACATTGCAATTAGGTTGTCATACATAGCATTAATTAAATAATACAGTTATTTTTTTCTTTTTATTTCATTTATTGGCACTCTTGATATATTACAATTACAAAAAAACGTTCACAACTATAATCGAAATTGTCACCAGAAACGGCCGAGTCAGCTATATTGAGAGGCACTTTTTCAAAGTTAACTGTTCCCATTTAAATCATTTTCCAATACGTTACCATATCGTTTTGGTAACGTATGTTTTATGGCATGTAGGATTAAATAATGTCCATTTCATAGTACAAGCTAGGAACATTCTTTGGATCTTTTTCAACAACAAAAAAAACCCACTAAAATGACAGTTTTAGTGACAAGGTAAACGGTTGTTTTCGAATATGGAATTGACTTTCAAGTGAACATTGTATTTGCAATAATTGTTCTAATTGGAAAAATATATCTCGCGATGTTGTACAAATATCACGATTTATCAAACGACGTGACCTATACAGTGGCATTGAAATGGCTTCTAGAGAGATATTATAGGAAATCATAAACCTTGTATGTTTTGAAGCCTTACGATACAGATTTATCTTAGTTTTTGACTGAAAGTCACATGAATAAACAACAAAAATAATATTCTTTTTTTCTTAACTAATTTGTCGTCTGATCGCATTGCCTTTTAACAGATTCCTTGGTATAAATTCAACAAATTTCCTCTTGTCAGAACTCCCAGAGAGAGAGGCTTTACTGTGTGTGAATTGATATGCATTTTTGTCCGATATATTTGGACTATCTTCTTCTAACCACTTTATGAAGTATTTATGTTTGGTATTTTGCCCTTAAGCATTTACTAAATGGAGCATATAATAATCTCACGTATACATATCCACAAAAAACACAAATCCAAGAATTTCGTACCACAATAACCAATTTCACTGTTTAAATTAATTAATTAACAAGGATACATGTTCATGGTTTGTGCTCAAGGTCTTCAATAAAATCGAATTGTTTATAAGGAAAGTACAGTTTGTGTTTTAATAATATTTTATCAGACAATAGTATGTCTTGCACTGCAATAGAAAAGATTAATTTTTCGCGTTCTGTTATGTGCATTATAATGTGACATAATGGTAGAATATTAAACTATAAAAAATGTTATCAACACATGTGCTTTGTTGAAATACTAGTATTTTACATAACGTAAGACTAATACCAAATGCATTCGCCGGTGCTGGGGTACATGGATGGTAACATGGTTCAAATAAGTTCCTCTTCCCTGTTCAAATCTAAAGACACTGTAATGAACTGAGACACTTTTCTTGTTACCGACGTTTTTCGCTGCTCAACATTATGTTCCAACTGCTCACGCATGTGCTGTGGAATCAACATTCTCAACGGATCACACAGGGCATTTCTTCTGCTGTAAAATCTACTGCATTTTATAGCTTCTATATTCTGTATAAAATTTTCGTGAGAAAATTGTCTGCTCAATTTTCGAATTCTCAAATCACTACGTTGAGCTGCATATCCATCATCTTTGCAACTTGTTGTTTCGGCCTCCATGATAAATGTTCCAGTAGAATGCCTTCTTTTCAGCGAAACTGAGAATGTCATATTTTCTGTGTCAGAAGGTTTATCAGCAATATGAAAACGTGCTTTGTCTTGTTCAGCATCGGTTACAAAATGTAATTTATCTTCACATTTAACTACATTTTCATTGTTACTTAAATTTTCAATCTCTGTCAAATTCATTGTAAAAAGCTCTGCCGTCGACTTTCTCTTTTTGCGATCACATATTCACAATAATTTCTCCACCTCGTGGATATTAATTATAAAAACAACATAATTGAGTTGTCCTTTTATCTTTATTCTTAATAGACTATATTATTATAATAAAAAGTACTTTTTCCGCAGTATATTGATATCCGGAATTTCCTTGTCAGCATCTCACGGAGTATTAACCTTTTATCTGCTTTCTTTCTCTTTCATGCATCTGTATATAAATCAAGAAACACTGTGATCATTACACAACCTTTTGTCGTTAACTTCACATACTCTAATTAAAATTGATCAATCAATAAAAGTAGACAATATCTACTTTATACAGACATTCTATACTGGTTTGTAATACGTGATGTAGGAACTCTTAGAATTAATTCTCATTTGACTTCTCAATCGATCCTTGATTCCTCCAGTTTCAAAGTACTCCAACCTGCCAGTATTATCAGTGTGAACTAAGATCCACTATAAGACGTATCTTCAAGCAGAATGAGTGTCATACGGTCGACGTTTTAGGTTAAATTTATATAATGTATTTATTTCCTAATATAAGTAATGTAAAATAAAACTTAATTAGGTCTAAAATCAATGATAAACAATCCCTTTAATGTTTCTGTGTGCACGCGCAATTTGTGCATGTTTGTGTCTCTCAACGCTTAAAATGATGCTCTAATTTTGACATTATCCAAAAAACAGTCATTATCTGGAAAGCAACAAAACCTATATTCTTCTTCAAGTAACTTGATCACTGAAAAGAAAAAAGTGTAATGAAATTGCAAAATATTTAAAAGTTCGAAATATCCTTTTCATAAATATCACTGTTGTATACTGATGTTCTTCAAAATACCTAAACTATCTCCTTGTTAGAGTAATATTAAGCCTATTCATGTTTCGCCCACATTATACAATATATAGAATATTCTATAAAAACAATATATGCTTCCATCACTCATTTTTTTATTTCCATCATGTGTACTGTCAAATCCGTATTTATAATAATAGTTGCGTAAAGAGTTGGTCCTTTGGGGGGGGGAAATATTAATTGTGACTGAATCGTTATTGATTGTAATAAAAAAGAGAGAAACAACGACGAACAAAATGGATGGCAATCGCTTCATATTCTAATCAAAAACCTATCTATTATATGCTACACCTTTTTTTGCAATCATTAAGGGATAATATATCATTCTGTAACATATGACATTGCGTAAAAGTGATTTCGTTAAAAATATTGATGAGTATATGTGTAATGCACGGCTTTGTATTTCCAAAACCTCTGAAATGAATATGTACCGCATAATGTATTAAAATAACCTCTTTTAATTGGATAAGTTTCAACTAAACAAATGCCTACCATCTAGCGAATCATGGATCCGAGACCTTAATTACTATATTTTACGGTCTAACATGCACGATCTGGAAGATGAATATCATTTTATTATTATTTGTCCATGTAATGTTGAGCTTAGAAAAACATATATTAAACCTTATTACTACGTTAGATATTATTAAGTTTTTAGATCTTTTAGATTCAACAAACAAGTTACTTTTGAAAACTCTAGCTTTGTTTATTAAAAATGCATTATCTCTTAGAACTACATTTACTTACAATTAATTGTAGTTCATCCTCATATGATAATTGATATGTAATGTAAATATGTTATTTCACTGTGACAATTATGCATATTGTATATATTTGTATATGTGATGATGTACTTATTGTACAAGTCATGAATAAAATTGTTGTTCTGTTCGCGATCTGTTCTAACTAGACATATGAGTATAGCATTGTTTTGTGAATGAACCTGATGGTGTTTTTGTTTGAATCATGAGATCATCGTGGTTTGCTTTTCTTTCTTTCGTGTTATTTTCCAGAATTTTATAACACTTTTTTTAAATTGTTATATATGCTATATCATCAAAATAATAAGATTTTCACAAATGGTCGTAAGAAATTAACATACTGTTGTGGTGGTTGACTCTGACTTTTCTACCATATTTAATTATATCTACAGTCTACAATCAAACCACTAGCCCCACACCGATGTGGGTTCGAATCCCGCCAGAAAACATCTCCAATTTCCATGACACTTGATAATATTCGAGTATTATCACTCCTTGAGGGAAAATGTTTTAATTTCTCTGTTCAGACAAATATCTGTTACTTTGAACCTTTGATAACTTCTCATTATATATTATCTTCTTAATTTAAGTGTCTGTTTTACACTAAGAGACAAACAAGTCCTATGCGTTCTCATACATTCTACCAGATATGTATTTTCTGTAATTATTATAAGTATTCGTTCTTTCTCACTGTTTTAAATGATTCCTAAAGTATCTAAATATGTTCATGTAGTTAAAACGTCTATAAATTATTCAACGTTGTTCGTTCAAAATTTATTGATGCCGTTATCGCAATATTATAATATACTTATATGTGTAAATGAAAAGATAGAAAAGAATTTTGACGTGTACATTAGTTCTTTTTTTATTTTTACAGGGGTAATATTACGCAATTTACATGTCAGTTATATTACCACTTCCAGGGCCTCATTTCTTGGGGTAGATTTGTACGAGTAAGTTGCTAACTTTGCACCGGCAGGGAATTCCCGACCTCGATTTGAAACGTACACAGAGGATTCCCGTAAAATTGTTGACATGCAAAGTTATTTTGCATACTTACTTTACGTGCATTTAATAAGAAAGTTTGCCTGAATGTTAATTGTATAAATTGATCATAATTACGCGCATGGTCAGTGGTAGTTTATTATTCTGTGCGTTATCTTAGGAACACTTGAGCCACGTTGACAAGTTGCTGTCAATCAGGGACAGAAGACGGGAGACAACCTAATGTTTGACAAGTGCAAGTGATAAGAACATTTTTCAATTTTTCTCGAAGAAAACAGAAAAAAACTTATTAAAAATGAGGTTAAGATTTCGAAAGAGTTTATTAATAAAGTTGGGCGTTTTGACTCTGGTGTTATTGTTTACTATACCATATTTTGTGAGTAAACTGGATGATACTAGCAGACAAGAAAGTCTCAAGTACAGGGCATGGAATAAGGTATTTTTCATTATACTATTAGTTTAATACTTCTGTTTTGTTTTCAAGTACTGCAGTTTGCAGGTAAGCTTATATATATAAATATATCAGAATGTGATTGATGAGCTTACATAGTTCAATAATCATATTAAATTTGCCTTTTCTACATGTATCGACGGTAGTAATAGAATGCGAAATGGACTCCATTTCGCGAAATGAACTTTTCGACTACGAAATGGACATTTGTCTCTTTAATTTTGGTTTAAGTGTACTATTTAATATCATTTTTAATAATGAACAAGTGATATATGACATAAAATTACGATTTAAACAATTTTGTTAATATTTTTTTCATTATTTATGCTTTTACACGGCAGCACGAAATACCCAAATATACCCAAATACACCCAAATATAGCAATATTTATTTTTGTTTGTATAAAATATAGATTATAATGGGAAATAAATGAATATTTATAAAATAATATGACTTAGTCTGCTATAACTTTCATTCATTCCGTTGAAATGGGCAGTTAAGATGTTGTAAGAAAATAAAGTTGTGACATTTGCTTATCTACTATACTGTATACAGTAGGTTCTTTATGAAAGTACTTGCAATTTTAAATCAAGATATGATATTTGTTGTCTACACTTACATTTTTAAGGTGTAATTTTGTTGAAATTTCATATCATAATTATACAAGTGTCCATGTTATTTAAAAAAAATATAGCTTTAATGGAGTACATATACTCTATAAATGATAGGAAAATGTATATTTGGGTATGTTTGATTATATCTTAGTGAAAGTTTATATTGTATTCATGATTAAAACAACACTTTTTTAGTATAAAACATATATTTTTAGTATAATTGGGCAATATTTGGGTATATTTAGGCAATATTTGGGTATATTTGGGCAATATTTGGGTATATTTGGGTGTATTTGGGTATATTTGGGTATTTCATGCTGCCCTTTTACATTTGAAAATAATCGTATAATTTGTTACGTCATGGGTTAATGAACGACATAAATATATATGTGCTCTATCTACGTTTATTATCTAAACTATATTATATGATACATGTGTTTACATATCAGTGTCCGCGATGGTAGTATATTAAGATCTAGGGAACTCTCTATTATAAAGGAGCTGTACGCACCTAGAGTATCATGTTACAGTTTACTCATCATGCTACATCTTCCATCTTTTACAAAATTACTGTTTTATTTAAAACATAATTTTATCATAAGTATAACCGCATAGATTATTATAATAACGCTTAAATAAATTCAAGGAAGAAAAACTTTATATTAGATGATGATTAAAGTAACATGTATTTAATAAATGTTCATTATCATGAGTCGTTTACAACATGTACTAATCATGATTAATACTGTAAATTTCTTCATTACAAACAATCACCGTCTATTTACAAGTCTGTTACAGCACGTGGCTTCACCTGTCTGCCTGCGCGAGTGAAATAATTAGCATTATCCGGAGGATTCAAAACCACAGGCTGTTTATTGCTATCGGTACGCTCTGACCCTACGTTAATCATTCTGTCATTAACTGACATTTCAAGGCCAGAATTCAAAGCACCATGTGTCAATAAAGGCGATTCTTTAGATTTCAACAAATCTTTACGATTTCTGCGATATTGTTGTCCGTTTTCTGTTTCAACAATATAGGACCTATCGCTGTGATTTTTTTATTACAACAGCGGGACTCCAGGACTTGTCTAGACGTTGAATTCTAGCGGAATCTCCAACATTTAAGGGAGACAGAGGTTTAGCATTTTTATCATAGTAATGCTTAGATTTGACCTTGGATTCTGCGATTTTTTGTTTGACTACATCAGGGGGCGGTACTCGTGGTATAAGGTTTTCCCTTACAGTGGGAAGGATAGAACGAAGTTGTCGTGATTGGACTAACTGCGCTGGACTGAAATTTCCTATATCAGCTAGAGGAGTAGAACGATATTCTAAAAATCCTATTCTCGGATCAGAATTATCATCTTTTGCCTTTTTAAGTATACGTTTGGCAACTTTAACCATCGCCTCAGCCAAACCATTTGTTTGGTTATGATATGGACTACATTTTACATGTACAAAATCCCATGACTTTGAAAACTCCTCAAATTCTTGACTAGAAAAACATGGACCCCCATCAGTGACTATTTTCTCACATATGCCCCAATGTGACATGATATCTTTCATGTGGGAAATAACAGTTGAACTTTTTATGTTCGAAAGTTCATGAACTATGGGATACCTAGAATAGTAATCGGACATGACCATGAAATTTTTCTCATTAAGTGAGAACAAGTCACACCCTGCAATTTGAAACGGATAGTCTGGGATTTCAGAGCTGATTAATGGCTCCTTCTGTTGCGATGACCTGTATTCCAGACAAATCTGACATTGATTTACCATTTCAATTATATCATTTGAAATTCCCGGCCAAAACATTATTGACCTTGCTCTACTAAGACATTTTTGCGCACCCAGATGACTGGAATGCAGCACCTTTAACATTTCCGATCTGAGTGACCTGGGCATAACGATTTTTTCTCCTTTCATTATTAAACCATTTACCTCAGATAACTCATCCCTATAGTTCCAAAAGGCAGCAATTAACTGATGACAAGCCTTTTTGTACTTAGGCCAACCAAACTTTATTGTTTGTTGTAATGTACATAATTGTTCATCTTGTTTTGTGTGTAACCTGATTTCCTCAAGTTTTCTATCTGACACGGGTAAAGATGAGATAACCATGCAAACGTGTGCCTCAATACCCTCATTAAGGTCTGGGCTTGTTTCCGGACTGGCGTTTCTGCTAAGTCCATCTGCTAATGGGATTTTCTTACCGGACATGTGACGAAACTGAAACCTATATGGAGTTAATTTCAAGACTAAACGCTGCAACCTAGCAGGTATTGAATGCATAGGCTTTTTCAGCAATCCCTGTATAGGGAGATGGTCATTTTCTACAATGACATCACGGCCATAGCAGTACTGATGAAATTTCGTAAATCCAAAGACAATAGATAGTAATTCTTTAGAAATTTGACCCATATTTCTCTGTGATTCAGTTAAGCTACGGGACGCAAATGCTATGGGACGTTTTTCCTGAAGGATTACTGCCCCTAAAGATTTTGAAGAAGAATCAACTTGCAATGTCAAGGATTTGTTTGGGTCATAATAAGCTAAACATGTGTCCTTGCAAATGACTTCTTTCATTTTTTCAAAGGAATCACTTTGAGGCTTTTGCCACGTGAATATAGTGTCCTTATGCAATAACTCTCTCATAGGAGCGGTAATCTCTGATAAATTGTCAGAGACATAACGACTGAGATAATTAACCATGCCTAATACCACCTGTAGTTCACTTTTTGATGTGGGTGGTCTCATATCCTTAATGGCCTCAATTTTGGCGGGATGGGCCTTTAAGCCTTCTGCAGTTAACACGTGACCAAAATAACTAATCTCGGTGAGACCTACTTCCAACTTTCTGGAATTGAAACGAATGCCTTTGTTCAAAGCACGTTCAAGGACAGCTACTAAATTTCGGTCATGACTTTCCCTCGTGGAACCCCATACACAAATATCATCAACAATTGTAGCTACCCCTTCGAGACCTATCAGTGCCTCTTCAAGGGCGCGAACCAAAAAATCACCTGATACGTTTAATCCGTATGGACATCGAAGATACCTGAAGACCCCCAATGGACTGTTAAATGCAGTCAAATATGACGACTCTTCAGATAACTGTATTGACCAGTAAGCACTAGTTAAGTCCAATTTAGTGAAATACTTTGCATTACCAAACTTATGTAATACGTCATCAAGTGTTTTGAGCGGGTAGGGTGTACGCTTAATTGCACTATTAAGCGAACGAGGGTCTAAACAAAGACGTATATCGCCATTACTTTTTTCAGTAACAACTAAATTATTACACCATTCAGTGGGTGTTGAAATCTTAGCAATTACTCCCATTTTTTCCATTCGTGTAAGTTCCTGTTTCACTTTATCTTGTAAAGCAACTGGAATCCTACGGGGAGGATGAACAACTGGTGTAGCATTTGGGTCAACATGAATGTTACATTCCCCAGGGAGTAACCCTATGCCATCAAAAACCTGGGCATAATCCGTCAAAAGGGACTCTTTAGTAAGAAATGCCTCTTTATTTCTATGATTATAATCATTTTGTACAGAATGAGCGAATTCTATGAGCTTAAAGCCCAAGCACGACTCGCAACCTAATAGTGGTGGGGATTTCGTGTCTACGACATGAAACGTGACATTTTTTGCTTGACCTGAAACAGCATGAGAACAAGGGAGAGTGATTTGCCCTTTGCTATGCAAGGAATTGCCATTGTAGGCGGTCAATTTAGATGTGGGCTTTTCAAGTGGTGCCTTGATTCCTAAACCTTGAAAGGTAGATAATGGCAAAATGTTTACCTGAGAGCCAGTGTCTAACTTCATTTGCACAGCCTTTTTACTATTTCCAATTAATATTTCTGTAAACATCTGTCCATTTTTTACTGTTACACAGTCAAGACTGTCCACATTTTCTACACAGTCAATGTATAATTCAGAACTTAAATTTGAAATTTCATTCACTGTTCTAGATTTACAAACATTGCTCCAGTGGTTCCATTTTTTACAATTGTTACATTGTGTGCCTTTTGCTGGACAACGCTGCTTGTCAGTATGTTGATTTCCACACCTGTTACATTTTGTACTGTGTGAACGTTCCCCAATGCGACCTGGATTGCTTGATGTTTCTGTATATCGACCTGGATTCATCGATGAAGGGTTCCGAGACGAACGACCTTGGATGCCCGATGAACGGCTAGGCATCCGTCCCTTCGGTCTTGATACTGCATGTACCGGAGCACTTTCTTGGACGTTATTGAACATTTTTATTTGAGATGCAGCATATTCAAATTCTTGGCAAATTTTTGTTGCCTTGTCTAATTTCAGATCTTTCCCTACTTGCAAAAGCCTTTCTCTTAATTTCGAACATGACACGCCAAATATAATTCTATCTCTGATCATGTCATCTTTCATTGTTCCAAAATCACACTCTGTAGCCTTGTTTTTTATTATTGTGATGAATTGTTCCATAGTTTTTTCGCCTTGTGTGATATTATTGAATTGATAGCGGCTAAATACTGGGTTAATTATCGGAGCGATGTGTTCTCGGACTTTTTGGAAGATCTTTTTTGTTTCTTTTCTATCTGCATTAGATAAATTTGCGGCTCTATATATTTCTCTTCCCTTTGCGCCCATATAAAGCAATAGCATTGTAACGTGGACATCTTCCTCTTGATCTTTCAAGGGTCCTTTAAATATTAATTCACAGTGCTCTTGAAATTTTGCGAATTCTTCTACAAGATTGGTTGATGTCCAGTCCATTTGAGGTTGCGGGATACCACTTAAATTCATTTTTTTTTTATAATATTCCAGCACTTAAGGAAATGTTAATGTAATATTCCAACAAGAAGGAATTATAGTTTATGTCTGTCCTTTTTTTAAAGAATGTTTAGCACATTTATTAATATTCCGTCATTAGGAATGATTTTCCTTTTTATATAATATTCTTTCTTTAGGAATTATAATTATACTATTTAAAATATTCCGTCTTTAAGAATTATTATTTTTCCAGTTCTGACACCATGTTACGTCATGGGTTTATGAACGACATAAATATATATGTGCTCTATCTACGTTTATTATCTAAACTATATTATATGATACATGTGTTTACATATCAGTGTCCGCGATGGTAGTATATTAAGATCTAGGGAACTCTCTATTATAAAGGAGCTGTACGCACCTAGAGTATCATGTTACAGTTTACTCATCATGCTACATAATTATGCCACATAGTTCAGTGTTTTATACATGGTCTTTCAAATAGAAAGATTCTGTTTTATATTATATCATATGTTTAACCTGGGACAAAAATATTTTTGTCATCCCAGAATAAACGTAAGTGAATAGAAAAGATACCCTTTGTGACATGTCAGTTACACCATAATTTGTAAAGCAAATGTCCATTCCGTAAGCGAAAACTCCATTTCGTGGCCGAAAACTCCATTTCGTAGAGGCCAGATTATTAACCAGGTTTTCCGAAGAAAAAACTGGTTATTAGATTGAGGTATGTCGGCGGGCGGGCGGGCGGACGGGCGGGCGGGCGTAAACAATTTTCTTCTGTGCGCAACTCCTCCTACATTTCTCAACGGATTTTGACCGAACTTTCACAGAAGCTTTGTCATCAAGTGCCCTGGCGCATATTGTCGGGGTTTTGTGATTGGATAATATTTGACCTAATTATGGCCCTTTGTGTTTTTTTCCTCATATAGAATATAATTTTAGTGAACAATTTCTTCAGTGCGCAACTCCTCCTACATTTCTCAACAGATTTTGACCAAAATTTCTCAGAAGCTTTGTTATCAAGTGTCCTGGCTCATATTGTCGGGGTTTCGTGATTGGATAATATTTGACTTAATTATAGCCCTTTGTTTTTTTTCCTTATATAGAATATATAGTTTCTGTGCGCAACTCCTCCTACATTTCTCAACGTATTTTGACCAAACTTTCACAGAAGCTTTGTCATCAAGTGCCCTGGCGCATATTGTCGGGGTTTTGCGATTAGATAATATTTGACCTAATTATGGCCCTTTGTTTTTTTTCCTTATATAAAATATATAGTGAACAATTTCTTCTTTGCGCAACTCCTCCTACATTTCTCAACGGATTTTGACCAAACTTTCTCAGAAGCTTTGTCATCAAGTGCCCTGACACATTGCCAGGGTTTTGCAATTGGTAAATATTTGACCTAATTATGGCCCTTTGTTTTTTTTCCTTATATAGAATATATAGTGAACAATTTCTTCTGTGCGCAACTCCTCCTACATTTCTCAACGGATTTTGACCAAACTTTCTTAGAAGCTTTGTTATCAAGTGCCTGGCACATATTGTCGGGGTTTTGTGATTGGAAAATATTTGACCGAATTATGGCCCTTTGTATATTTTTTCCTTATACAGAATATACAGAGAACAATTTCTTCTGTGCTCAACTCCTCCTACATTTCTCAACGGATTTTGACCAAACTTTCTTAGAAGCTTTGTTTTCAAGTGCCTGGCACATATTGTCTGGGTTTTGTGATTGGATAATATTTGACCGAATTATGGCCCTTTGTATATTTTTTCCTTATACAGAATATATAGTAAACAATTTCTTCTGTGCTCAACTCCTCCTACATTTCTCAACGGATTTTGACCAAACTTTCTTAGAAGCTTTGTTTTCAAGTGCCTGGCACATATTGTCGGGGTTTTGTGATTGGATAATATTTGACCGAATTATGGCCCTTTGTATATTTTTTCCTTATACAGAATATATAGTGAACAATTTCTACAGTGCGCAACTTCTCCTACATTTCTCAATGGATTTTGACCAAACTTTCACAGAAGCTTAATGTCATCAAGTGCCCTGGCGCTCACTAAATTCCCATGTTTCTTCCAAGACATCATTTAAGTATTTTTTTAAAATTGTGAACATACTTTTCTTGATATCGCACAAAACACCACACGCCAATATTGTTGACAAAAGAAAATGACAAGAGACGCAAAAATGCAAAAATTAAGCAAAAATAAAGTACTGTTTACTTTTCTAAAACATTTGGGGAAAAAAGGCGAATAGACAACATAAAATTTCTCAATCATTTTTGTTTGAGGAATATTAAAAAAGCCATAATTCCTCCTAAAAGTTCAATTAAAAACAAATGCCCCTTCATGACAAAGCTTCTGTGAAATATTTTGCTGAAAACCTGGTTGCATCGCATTGCGATGTTCCTTGTTTTCAGAAATATGACTATAAAATAGGAAAATAGTATTTTTAATTGTTTCAATCTGTAGTTTTATGTCATATGTTAAACATAAATTAATAAAAATAATATTACTCATCATGGTTAAACAAACAAATGTCCATTTCGTAGGCGGTAAGTTCATTTCGCGAAATGGAGTCCATTTCGCATTCTATTACAACCCATGTATCGATACTAAAAAATAGTAGGTATGCTATCAAATTTAATTATAAATATATTAATAAATATAATATCTGGTGCAACCAAGTCTTCTACTTGCAACCATTGACTTAAATGGTGTGCTTATATAGCATTTTAATTGAAGTCAAAGGGGTACGGCTCATTGATATCTAATAAGTAATATATAGATATTATATATAGATATATATAGTCTATATATTAGTATATAGTGTAATGGGAATGGACTTAGAATAATAGAATTCATTTCTGACTTAGGATAAATGTTTTCTACCATCAAATACATATTTTGTTTATTAAGATTATTTTTTTCTACCACAAATACTTCAATACATAATAAAATAGCTCATTTACAATAAATATAACCCTTCTGACTGTTTAAATTAAATATAATGCCTGGGGACGCTTTGGGACGCTAAATTTCTTCGGGACGCTTTTTAGTGAGACAGTTTTTGTCAAGCAAAACAAGTAGATATATCCACCATGTGTTACCCTAAGCATTTTACAGTGCTAGTTTCATACACTATATTTCCCAATGATCCAAGCATTCTATGTTGAAGAAATTTGGCAGGCTGACTCTAGGACAGGGATGAATTTAGGGCACCCAACAATAAATCATCTTGTTTCATACAACATACGAGACTGGTGAAATTTTATCATTTGATCATTTTGATGACATATCATTTCAAAAAGGCTCAGACGGCCACCATGTGTGGGATAGTAGCTTGAAGCAGTATTTTCTGCTATGCATTTTGTAATTTGAATATTTCAGCTGGCAAATGATGTCAAGGAGATGCTTCCATTTAACGATCCAAAGAAAAATGTGATTGCAAATCCACTAGAATTACCAGGATCTGCAAATGACTCCTCTGTTCATAAAGTATATGGACCAAAAAGCATCTTTAGATCAGGTGTTCTTGGTAATTATGAGCCAGACTACAAGATAAAACATGGGCCAGGTATGTATCCTCTTACACAATCTAACAGTAGTTTAAGTTGTGAACTGAGTTAATTAGCAAGTTCATTTCACGAAACCAAATTGAGGAATACCAAGATGATATAATATCATAATAATGACAATGTACATGTAAAGATCAGTTGTAAGAGTATATGACCAGTTATAATAAGCCAGTAATATATGATATAAACATGTATGTCCTAAAGTTTGTTGGCTGTTATATTTCACATAAATTTACATTGTTAAAGGTGAAGGTGGACAGCCTGTGTTCACAACAATGGAGGAAAAGTCTGCAGCTGACAGGTCAACTCATGAGTTTGGGTTTAATATGGTAAACAGTGACAAGATATCCCTTGACAGAACTATACCTGATACTAGGATGGATGAGTGAGTGAATTATTGAGAAAAAATTCTGTGTTAATAAATTGATATAGCCAGTCATAAAGATATTCCATTGTAAAGAAATAGAAAACAGTTTTAATATGATTTATAAAATGCAATAATACATATAGTAGTGACTTTGGCTTGAAAAATTTTTGAGCAAGTTTTTGTATCAAAATAGGATATCAGTACTTAGGAACAATATGAAATTATTAAAGCTTCGTACCGAAGATTGTAACTATTGACAGAAGGCTTATTGTATAGCATCTTTCACTTGTTTTATGCATTTTCCTGTTTGCAAGTCTTTAGATATTTATCTTTCTTGCACCGATCTTGATTAAATTTAATAAATGTTATTACAGATGTAAATATTGGCAATATCCAGAGATCAGTAAACTGCCATCGGCCAGTGTTATATTGGTGTTCCACAATGAGGGATGGTCCACCCTGATACGTACCGTACACAGTGTGGTCAACATGTCTCCACCAGAGCTCCTGAAAGAAGTTGTAATGGTAGATGACTTTAGTGATAAAGGTATGTGTGATGATAAACACAGCATTGAGGTTCTGTGTCTTTTGTAAGTTATTTCAGCAGACGACTTACATTGTATGATTATATTGTACTTTTACAATGATGTTTTTATCATTATTATGTATATAAATATGTAGAGCACATGGAATTTACAAGGCAAATTGGTACAAAAATGTTCTATTCTTCTATGTATTTCTATCTATATATATATAATAAAAAATTGTTCTCCCTTAATGAACTAAATCTATGGAGGGCAAGAGGTCACAATAACCTGTCTGTGCCACCAGTATAGAGCCGGGGAGCAGTCTGCACTGCATATTTGTACAGTCTGACAAAGAGCTATACAATTGGCTGCTTAGTTTTTCATTTTGATACTGAAATACCTAAAACTCAAAATGAACTGTTCCTTATTCAAAATGAAAAGAGTCCGTTACACAAATTTAGGTGAGTGGAGGTACGGATACAAGATACATAAAATGTATATAAATGTTACTATGAATCCTCAGAATACTTTGGGTTTTTTTTCAAACAGAGCATTTAAAAGGCAAATTAGAAGACTATATCAATGAGTATAATAAGAAACATAACAATGTTGTGAAGTTGTTCAGAAACAGCGAACGATTAGGTCTCATTGGAACTCGTACACGAGGTGCTGAGCTGTCGACAGCAGATGTTATAGTTTTCCTGGACGCTCATTGTGAATGTAACAGAAACTGGTTAGTCCCTTTACTAAGCCGGATCGCATATGACAGGTGAATATTGTTTCTTTGTAGATTATGGTTTTCTGATAGATAATAATTTCTCGACAGCTGTCGATTTTATTTTGTTATCTAAATTGTTTAAATTGTTAGATAATAGAAAATACCATTGAAAATATAAAACACATTACATAGTAATAGCATAGCATTTGTAAGCACATTTACATGTACGTATTCAGAATTATAAAACCTGCTTATTGGCCTCATAGGGAATGCCACATGTTTTTGAGTACTGTAGTTGTTTTCGTATATTTTTATCATTTATGGTAAAACAGGTGTTAATATATTAGAATCTGTTTGTAAGAGCTTCATATGAAAATAACAGTCCTAGATATCATATGTTAACAGTTGAAATATGAATTTTTATTTTATCTATAAACTTGTACAAGTTTTGTTTTACCTACAAAAATATAATGTAAAGAAATAAAAAAACCTTTGACTTGGGTAGGTTTTTGTGCTTGAATCATTTTATGTTTTGCTGATACAAGTTGTTTTATGAATAATTAAAAGGATTTATAATTGTTTCTTGCAATACAATAATTTTTGTGGTAGCAGTATATGTATGTATTATGGTGTTTTCTTAGTTTAAAGGAGCTCCACTGTGGTCCCAAAGTATATAAACATAAAATTTGAAAATATTACAAAGGTCAACTGGGACTCTTAAAAGCAAAAACTTAGAAAATAATACCAAAGAAATAAACTGATAATTAAATTGAGAATCAATATTTAGTATGAAGGTTTAAGTCAAAAATGTTTAAAAAAAATCATTTTTAGCTTATTTTGCAAAAAACGAAGAAAAGATAATTCTGAAGAAAAAAACAACAAAGAGAGATGAAACGATCTGAACTTTTGCAAACAAGTATTTGGTCATACCTACATCCAATAGTTTTAAAAGCTCGAAAAAATATTTTCATTTCCATCATGTAAAAAAACCTCAATAGGGTCCCTTTAATAATGAATATTTATCATCACAATGCTATGTACATTATTTTGTATTTTACTTATATCCTCCACATAAGATGGATTGCTATAAGAGGTAGTCTTAATTTTAAAATGAAATACCCATATTTAGTTTTTACTCTTATTTTGCCTGTATATGTACACTTGTTTATTTTATTTTATGATTTTCTTTCCTTATCCTAACCTTGTAGAACTATTATGACCGTCCCTATAGTTGATGGTATAAACTGGGACAATTATGCCTATGCCTCGGTGTATGGTGCAGCAACTGCCCATCATAGGGGCATATTTGAGTGGGGATTTCTATATAAGGAGAGCCAGGTGCCGCTGAAAGAGCTACGTCGACGGGAACATAATAGTGAACCCTACAGGTATCGTATAGAATACAAAATAACTAAATTTTGATACACTTAAACATTTTGAAAAATGCAGCAACTTAATAGAAAAAGATGAGCTAAAATTTGCTAGGAAAGTAATTTTGTGCTGGGATTATACACTGTATTATACACTATCAAAGAGTCCTAGACTCTTTTGACAAAAAATTGAACCAAATAAATTTAATTGACAAAACATAACAGTATGAAAGGTGCATTTTCCAAAGTTTTAGTGTATACAAAATCATATACATTTGTATGATATATGTTTATATGGAAATATCTATTGAAGGTACTGTAAATATTGCAGGATTGTCTGTTTATATGTTGATTCTGCTAGCAACAATACAAGAAAAACTTGATTATGCAAATATCGTTACGAGTAATTTGGTCAGAAAACAATAATAATAGCAATTAAAAAGTTGGATATACCATAATTGACAGCGAGTTTTAACAAATTGCTGAATTAAATTTACATATGTCATGTATTGTACATGTAGATGACTAGCTTTCTATTATTAGTAATATTGTTGAAGATTTCATATGACTAATTATCAGTGTAATTAAATATAGATATTTCCATATTTACACATCGATACAAGTACATGCACAGCTGTACAAGTTAAGTGTCAGGTTTCCATTTACATGAGTTATTAAAGTTTCTTGACATTTGATAAATTTCTCTCAGATATAACATTGTACAATACAATATAAAATAAATGTAATATTGTATATCAATAAAAACTGGCCGACAGCTGGTCTATTCATCTCTATGAAACTCCCATGTAGTGGAAACTTGACTCCAGACTTGATTGACTGTGTTGGATCTGTATCTGCTATGTACAATTTAAACAACTGATGTAGGAAATGAAATACGGTGATTTGTAATGTAAGCTTTTAAGTTTTAGTCTTATTTGAAAAAAAAAACAACACAAAACAACAAAAGCCCTCCTTCACCTTCTTGAAACTACAATGCTTAAATTATCAAATGTCCTTATGGTTAATGTGTATGGTTTTCAATGCAGCAAATGTTGGTTTGAGCCAAACTGAGGGTGTTGGTTTCAGCCTCACTTAGGGTATTGGTTTGAGCCTCACTGAGGGTGTTGGTTAGGGGCATTGGTTTGCGTCTCATTGATGGTGTTGGTTTGAGCCTCACTGAGGGCATTGGTTTAAGCCACACTGAGGGTGTTGGTTTCAGCCTCACTTAGGGTATTGGTTTGAGCCTCACTGAGGGTGTTGGTTAGGGTGTTGGTTTGCGTCTCAATGAGGTAATTGGTTTGAGCCTCACTGAGGGCATTGGTTTGAGCCTCATTGAGGGTGTTGGTTTGAGCCTCACTGAGGGCATTGGTTTGAGCCTCACTCAGGCTAAAGGTTCGAGCCTCACTGAAGGAGTTAGTTTGAGCCACACTGAGGGTATTTGTTTGAGCCTACCTGAGGGCGTTGGTTTGAGCCTCACTGAGGGTGTTGGTTTCAGCCTCACTGAGGGTGTTGGATTGGTGTTCATTTGATCAACACTTAGCAAATTCAATGGTCTGATTCAAAATTAGGGCACTGTTTCATGTATCTCATATAAAACTGGTACCATTCAGTTGAGAAGTGGCCATATATGTGATGTGCAAAAGATTATTGATAGATGTGAGGTTACATGTAAAAATGAAACACTTTAATTGCCTGGGTGTGATTTACAACTTTGATTTAATTTAGTTAATATATCATTTATTTTAGTTTGATTGTGAAGGAAACTATAAGCTTAAAGACACACCCTTGAATCTATATGTATTTAAATTTGATTACAAAGCAGTAACTGTAAGGCCAGTCTTTTTATTATTGTAAATTACAGGCATAGCTTAATGCTTTTAAATAGTTTAATTATGATGCCGTGAACTAGTTACATAATAATAATTTTGTTTTAATCATTTTTTCTGCAAACATTAAGGCCCTTTCTTTGTATTCTGAAAAAAACCCCAGACAATTGTCAGGTCTATAAACTTAAGTATTGATTTAGTTTTGGACTATATTTTGTATAACAAACTTCAGTACATTGCAGTACTGGTCAAACAGTAAATATTGGCATTTCCTACATTACAAATAAATTGTTTCATGTAGATACAGGTTCACACAGTATTGTATTAAGTATAGATCTGTGGACTATTGCATTTATAATTAAATGAAATAAAATCAATTTTACAGAACTATATTGGCGGTACCTTCCGTTGATGTGATAGGTTGGGACAATTTTTCCTATGACCAACGGTTTTCTGGTCACAGACACAGAGTTGGTATATTTGATTGGGGTTTTTTGTACAAAGAAATGTATTTGCCGGAAAGGGAGGCAGAAAAGCGCACCCATAACAGTGAACCTTACAGGTTTTTAAAACTGAAGAGAAGTGTTGTATAATATGTATTGTATATTATTGGAAAAAGTGTATACATACTTATATTAAACCCTTTGAATCATAAGGTTTTACAATATAATAAGTTAAGTTGGGTTTGTATAGGTCAGGAATCTGTGTAATATATATAGCCTCAATATCTGCATAACAAAAAGTTCCGGTATTTTCCCAAAAATACTTTACCAGTGTAACTTGTATAATTTCCCAGGGTCAGTGTCAGTTAAAAAAGAAAACCTTTTTTACTGTAAATGTATTGCCCCTTTTTAAGTTTTCATCCCGAAAATTCATATAGATTGTATTATAATGGAGAATATAAACACATACAGCCTACAAGCCAATTAAAATATAATGAAAGTGCTTCACAGACTTGTGGCCCTTGTTTATTCTATATATAATGGTGCTAAAGGGGAAATATTTAAAGTTTATCAGTGGTATTGGTTAAATATTTGGTTTATGTCATGAATCAAAATAAAGTTAAATCATATTAATTTTATATAAATTGTTCATAAATTGTTCAGAATGAAAAGCATGACATTTCTAAATTTCTTACAACAGACTTATAAATGAATGAAATTTGATGCTTTTACTGCGGCAACTGTTGTAAAGCATTGTGCATTTTATAGCCTTTTTATTGCTCGGAAAATCAATGTAAACATTAAGCATTCATAATAACATTGTTTTATCGTAATTTCAGAGCTCCGACACATGCTGGAGGATTATTCGCCATAGATCGTAAATACTTCTTTGAGATGGGAGCCTATGACGAAGGTCTTCAGATATGGGGCGGTGAAAACTTTGAACTTTCATTTAAGGTAAAGTATTTAAAACATGTCCTTGGATCCATGCAAAACAGACATAAATCCTTCATTATATAATATGAGTTACAGCTGTTTTGCACTTAACCCTTGAAGTATTCACTGTCACTATTCACTGTTGAGTAACTTTTTGGAAAGTATTATAAAAGAATACCAAATATAAAAATATTTTAGAAATAATAATGAATGCATTTCAGTTTTCTTGGGCACTATAATGGGCCTTTAAACAAATAAGGTTATCGAAACTAGTGTATATGTTACCAACAAAATATTGTATTAACTTGCATTTGTGCAGAATACCATTTTAATCTATACATCTCATGATGAATAAATTTTTTTTAATTTTTTTTGGTTGATCAGTTGAAATAGTTAGGTATGTATTAGATATTTATTTATTTTATTTTAGATCTGGCAATGTGGAGGTAGTATAGAATGGGTGCCATGTTCTAGAGTTGGCCATGTATATAGAAATCATATGCCTTATGGTTTTGGAAAAATTGATCATAAAATTCCTGTCATATTATTGGTAAGAGTTACCTTTCCTTGTTGAAAACTTTAATTATTATTATTTTTCTATTTGGTTGGGTTTTAGGTTACACTGACAGTAAAGGTCTTATGACATCTTTTCAGCTTTACTGCAGGTGCACCTACATGTGTCATTTAAGTCATGAGCACATTTAGCAGGCATCTAAAAAGAACCACCAACTTTTCAAAAGCTACTGATAGCTTCCTCACATGAAAGAATTATTATTCTTGGTGGGTTTTGATCCTACAGCAGTGGAGTTTGCATAGGGAGGGAGGTGGAGGGTGGGGTGTTCTAAGACAATTGATTTGGACTTCGAGTCTATTAATAAATAATTTTCACTCAACTCTGATTCAGAAATTATGTGGGATAAGAAGTCGGCCACTTGTGAAATAATTGAGAATTATTGGTTAGGTCAGGAAATTGGGTTAGTGGATCAAAAATGGCGGAATATATGACAAAAAAAAATGTATTTAAAACGGCATAAAAAGCTGACATAAAACAAAAAGAATCAAGTAATCATCATACTATCATCACATGTATTTCGTACATTTCAGAATTATATGAGAGTGGTTGAAGTATGGCTTGATGATGAATTTAAAGAATATTTTTATACAAGAGAACCAAGTGTTCGTGGGTACCCAATCGGAGATGTATCAAAACAATTAAAGTTTAAAAAAGACAAGAATTGTAAAAGTTTTAAATGGTTTATGGACAATATAGCATATGAAGTTTATGATAAATTCCCCATTTTACCACCAAATAAAGCATGGGGAGAGGTAAGTTGACCTTTTACAACTTCTTTATGTAAAATATTAAATCTTTACACTCCTATATTTGTAAAATGGACTTATCTAACTTTGAATTTGAATCTGTCCATTATAGCATTTAAGGGTTTTAATATCAAAAAGCTCAAATTAAGCAAAAATTCATGCGAATGTTCAATTGTTTAATTGATATTAATATAAATTGAATTTTTTTGCCTATTTGTTACTTTATGCTATATATGATAAATATGTTAGCATTATTATCCTCATTTAACAATTACAAATCTACTACATTCATTGCTGTCCTTGGATGTGAAATATGATCAAATTTCCTTGAATTATATGACCCATAATTGATAAAGTTGACTTAGATTTATATGAGCCATTGATAAAATTGGCTTGATATATAGAATGCCGAAGACTGAGGTCCTATCAATCATTAGGGCTGACGCGGAGATCGCTATAATTCAATTGTGGATTATACTGCATTTTACATTTTAGATAATGGAAAATGGATGAAAATGTATTGTTTGAGTTACAAATTTTCTTGTAAAATATACTCAAAACTGTTGCAGTCAGTTTGTATAACACAAGTTTTGTAAAAGTATTCCTCATGGTTTTATATGCCAAACTTAAATTTTTACAAGTCTGGAAACGAACCATGATAATTTTTTTGTAAGGTATAATATTATTTTTTGATATTTTTACATTTTAAAAAACAGAAAAAAGGGTATGCTGTGCTGGGAACACTCGGTCAGTCAGTGGGGTGGCGGCCCTAATAGGAGTCAGTCACTGTCATCACTTTGGTGGTAACCAGGTATGTTGAGTAGGTCCAAAAGTATGTTACCATGACAACAGTGTTCAACTAAACGACCTCAAAGTTTTTAACAATAACCTATATTGCATGTGTAACTAATACCTCACAAAAAAATGTATCATGCACTTTTTTAATTTGCTATGGTTACTTTTTAACTGCGTTTCCTGATTCATGTGAGAAATTTTGGGGAAAATTTTATTTTAGTTGTAGAAAAAAAAAGCCCTGATAATTTACATTAACTATGAATTTTTGTTGAAAAAGGTCTGGCTAGTATATGGCTGAAATATTGTAAGCCACTGCAAATGCACTCAAAATATGGAAATCATATTTCTGACAAATTCATTTATCTTTTTCATAAACATATTTTGCTTATGGTTAAAGAAGATTTGAAAGAGATTTTCACATATAAGAGGGGAAATTACTGACAGTTGACAGTCATTGTTAGACAGTTAAGTACTCTTTCGAATTATGACAATTTAAGGAATGATATTTTTTTCTTTCTTATGTCATCTTGTAAATGAAACAGTTGAATTTTAAAGCTACATGCCTGTATATGAGAGATAATTAGAAATTTTTTACATTTTTAAAAAGTTTTTAAAAGAAAAAAAAATTCAAGTTAATAAAATTTTACATGTTTTGGGTTTGTTTTTTAAAGACGGTTTCCCCGTTTTTAAATCAAAAATTTTTTTGCTGCATGGAAAAAACCCGCAAGTAAGGGCTATTTTTTGGGGTTTTTATTTTAAACCTTTTTTTGGTAATAGGGCATGGAATTTGCAATTTTGACGTTTGAATGTGTAAAAATAGTTTTTTTTTTTTAATTTTAAACAATAAAATTTGTTCATTAAAAACCTTTTTTAAATTTTCATAAAAATTAGCATGAATCTTGGAGGCATGTTGCCTTTAATAGGCCTTCCACCTATAATGGTGAAGGTTTTATTATGTAAAGCATTTGACCAGCTCATGTAGATTTGAGAAAGAAATTAAACTTTCTATCTGAAATCATTATGTCATAAAAATATTTTGGATTAGCAATTTTTAAAAAGCGTAATTAATACAATAATCAAACTTTTTTTCTAAGTGTTGGATAATGTGGTGCTGGTTTACTTTAAACTGTCAAAAATTTATATTTCATCATAATATTACATGAAAATTTACATTATTTACATGAAAGTGCCTTTGTGCTTGATACATAATCTCTTTTATATTATAGTACATATATTAGTCTTTTTACTTTATTTTCCAATATATTAGCCTTTATAACCTTATATCCAATTATCGTAGCCTTTTTAACATTTGCTCAAATTATATTCTTTTACCTTTTCTTATTAGCCTTTCACCTTATGTAAAATATTAGCATTTTTTACATTATTTCAAATTATATAAGCATATTTACAATTATTTCAAATGATATTTATCACTCTTTTACATTATCTAAAATTATGATATTGTATAATTAGACATTTTACATTATCTCAAATCACATAAGTGTCTTGCATACTAGTATTGTTGCATTATCTCAATTTATGATATCATTTTTGTAATTTATTTACTAGTAGTTCGTATGATAACAGTAGCCCTTTAGTAAACATTTAACCATTAACATTCTAAATATCTTTAATGGGGTCAATGGCCCAGTTAGCTAATTGGTAAGAGCATTGGACTGTGAATCCGGCAGCCCATGTTTGATTCCCGGATGCTGCAGGTCACTTTCATTTTGATTGATCATGAAATCCTTTCTACGGTCATTTACACTGTACCTCTGCTTTGGCATGTACAGAAGTGATTACTTCCATGCAAAATTAAAGGCACTAAATAAGACTGGTAAACTGCTTGACAGCTTGCCCAGGAATGATGCGGTGGCTGAACTGTGCTGTGGTGAACTCAAAATGGCTCACAGTCATGACCTTGAGGGTAAACTACCAACACCACCCCCACCATATCTTTAATAGACTTGTCCATCTTTCAGTCTGAACTAACTATGAAACCATTCATCATTTTTAAGGAAAATTTTAAATTATATTCTGATTGAATAACAAACAGTGCAGACCATAATCAGTCAGCATTGATGTTCAGGGCGATGGTGGTCTGCACTGGTCACATGGGTATATTCAGTTGCAGTTTGTAGGTTAAAGGTTAATTTATATACATGTATGTATTCCCTGCATATTGCTTGAATGCTTTCAAGGTTTAAAGAAATTTACTGTCTATTATTATAGCTGAAGTGACCTTTATATATGGTCCTTATATTTTTTCTTTTCTATAATCAACACTCTGTGATAATATATTTGATTTGTTTTAATGCAATGTTCTTCTTTTATCTTCAGTTTCTAATTTTATGTAATGAAAATAAGTTAATATCTTTGTATAATCCAAATTTTACTTACATGCTGCATATTTAAATAGCATATTTTAAAGCATGTTGCAACAGTAGATTTATTTTATTCCATTTTTTTTCTGTTTTCAAAATTGTGGCCACAATGACAGAAGTGTTTGCATTTTTTTTTGTACTTTGGGCATTTAAAGTAAAACTTCAACTGTGAAGCTTAGAACCACTTTTGTGATAATTTGATATACATGTTGATTTACTGCCCATCATTTGTTGGAAATAATTAGACATACATGTTCATTTAGTAACCATCATTTGTTGGAAGACATTTTTAGTCTTGTACAATTTATTACAAATATTTATAACATATGTAGCATTTGAAAAAAGGAAGCTCACTTACATGTAAAGTGCTGATTAATTGTTTTCCCATTATTACCATTAACTCTACTTAATTTAACCATTGTTTGCTTAAGGTAAAACTATAGTATAAGAGAAGTACATGGTTTAAAGGTTAAGATATGAAGGCCTTTTTATGATCACAAGGTTAAGATATAAGATGTTTTATATGGTTATATCAGGAATGAGGGATTTTATATGGCTAATGAATTAAGTATTAAGAGATTTTATATGGTTATGAATAAAAGGAACCAGGGATTTTATATGGTTATAAAGATTAGGAACAAAGGATTTTGCATAGTTATCAGGATTAGAAATGAGGTATTTTATATGGTTATAACATTAAGAAATGAGGGTGATTATATGGTTATAATAAGGTGAAGGTATGAGGGCATTTACTTTTAGAACACTGTGTCATTGTAATATCTTTGTCTCTTACTACAAGGCTGTCATCTCTGTTTTGTATCTTTATTTAGGAAAAGAAATATATATTAAATATGCATGAAAATAACTATACCTGTATTACCCATTTAATTTTTTTCTTTGAAATTTTAGTCCGCCATTTTAGACTTTTATTTTATTGAATAGTCTACAGTTAAAATAGTTCTTATGTAGAAACCTTGTAGGTCCTACTTAGCAAAATTTGAAAAACGTGCTTTGATTTTAATCATCAAGAATAAGGGTCTCTAGTCAAAAGATTATCAACCTAAAAATGAAATCTTGTGTTATTCTATTTTATATATTGGAAATATTTCATGGATTTGAATAAGAGTTAATTGTACATGAAAAAGCATTAATGACATCTATAAAATTTCACATTGATCAACTCAAATATTATATAATTTATTGGCTGAAGAAGCAATAGCAGTTAAAGTAACAATTTTAGAAATTAGGTTGGTTATTTTAATTCATGTTTTCTATATATATTTCTTATAAGGTAAGTACAATTTTTATCTCTAGCATCTTGGGAGTTTTTCTTTATAAATTTGTTTTAATGATTTGTGGCTTTTAGATTTTAATTTTAAAGAAGCATGTTGCAAGCAGCATGTTTTATTCAATGTTTAGAAAATTGTTTTCATGTCTTACAAATTTCTTGGATAATATCTTCTTTGTTTGTAGACTTTCTTAATGGATATTTGACAAAATAATTTGTCACAATGTCACGAGAATTCTTTCTCTGATGTATTATAACCATAAGTTATTTCTCTCTGTTGCACACATTTAATATACATGTAACATATGATAAGGTATCAATACTTACTTAAGTCATGATAGTATGGCATCATTTTTTATGCCCCCACATAGTGGGAGCATATAGCGTTGCACTTGTCTGTCCGTCCGTACGTCCGTCTGTCCGTACGTCCCGAAATCTTGTGAAAGCAACTCCTCTTAAACCGGATGGCAGATTTTGCTTAAACTACCAGGGATTTACAACCTTAATGTGTAGATGGTAGTAAAGGAAGGAATTTTCGCTGCCACCAAAGTTAACAGAATTATGGCCCTTTGTTAACTTTTTCACTATATACTATGTAGAAATTTTGTGAACGCAACTCCTCTTAAACCGGATGACAGATTTTGCTTAAACTTCCAGGGATGAACAACTTTAATGTGTAGATGGTAGTAAAGGAAGGAATTTTTGCTGCCACCAAATTTAACAGAATTATGGCCCTTTGTTGATTTTTTCACTATATACTATGTAGAAATTTTGTGAACACAACTCCTCTTAAACCGGATGACAGATTTTGCTTAAACTTACAGGGATGAACAACCTTAATGTGTAGATGGTAGTTAAGGAAGGAATTTTTGCCGCAACCAAATTTAACAGAATTATGGCCCTTTGTTGATTTTTTCACTATATACTATGTAGAAATTTTGTGAACGCAACTCTTCTTAAACCGGATGGCAGATTTGCTTAAACTTCCAGGGATGAACAACCTTTATGTGGAGATGGCAGTAAAGGAAGGAATTTTTGCTGCGACCAAATTTAATAGAATTATGGCCCTTTGTTGATTTTTTCACTATATACTATGTAGAAGTTTTGTGAACGCAACTTCTCTTAAACCGGATGGCAGATTTTGCTTAAACTTCCAGGGATGAACAACCTTAATGTGTAGATGGTAATTAAGGAAGGAATTTTTGCTGCGACCAAATTTAACAGAATTATGGCCCCTTGTTGATTTTAAGTTTTCAACTTGTGGCACATGTAGTCCAAAAAATATATTTGACCTAGAGTCATAAGATTGACAGAACAGTGGCGTGTGGGAGCATCCGTGTCCTATGGACACATTTCTAGTTTGCTCCAATTTTAGGGGCAGAGTGGTTCAGGTAGTTGATGTCAAACCCTTTTTGCCTCTCACCGCTGTGTCAAGCCGTTCAAGCGTCTTGGCTTTAATGTGGAAAGCTTATGAATAACTTATGGAACATCTGTGGCATTACTCAGGTGCCTGTTTGTGCCTGAAATAACACGCAGAGGAGCACCTGAGGTCTTCCTCCACCAGTAAAGCTGGAACATCGCCATATGACCTATACTGTGTCGGTGTGACGTAAAACCCAATCCAAGCTCCACTTTTTGAAGTGGTGTTGTCATTTGACCCACTTGTTAGCAGTGTCCGCAGCATCAGTGTTGTTTATGGTCATTAACTTCAATACAAATAAAACTATAACATTGATGCTTACTATGTGGATACACCTTAATAAGTTCTATTTGTCACTGATTTTGAGGTCTAAAGGTCAAGGTCATTGTGATCTTTAACAGGTAATATGTTATGGTCAATTTTCTCAGAAACTATTTAAGCTATCCACTTTAAACTAAATAGTTTACATGTTTACTATCATCATATGATGCAATATCTAAAGGGCAGATAATCCTAGTCATATCTTGCAAAGTTATGCCCCTTCTTTACTTTTATTTTTTCCCCTGATTAACCTTTTTGTTAAGGTTAATTTCTCAAAAACAATCATTATATAGATTACAATCTTGTAATACTTGTTCACAATAAAATTGGAATGCATTTCTAAAGGACAGATATCCATCACAGATATTCACTTCAAACAGGCCAAGATTTTATCAGAATTATGCCCTCTTTCTACTTTGCTTTTTATCATACTATCAAGTACTGAGAAAAGTGGAATGTGCTGCTCTTGTTTAAAACTGGCTTGTCACTCTGTGATTTGCAGTACTTCTATTTTCCTGACTTTGTAACATCATGTAATGTATATAGAAAAACCTTAGATTTGCTGCAGAAATGTTGTAAAGCTTGCTACAGGCTTGTGTTACTACAGTCTCATATAGTCTATATAAAATGAAGAGGCATGTGCTTTAGGGTCAATCAAAAGCTATGTTAAGTGTTGTTGGTAAAGGTATATGTTTTAAACAGTTGTCAGTGTGTTTCAGATGTACAGACTTAATGTCAAAGGTCAGATTGGAGTAGGAGAACGATGTATTGAGGCCCCATCAGGGGACACCCTGCATATGAGTTTCTGTGATACACAGCCTGTAGGCCCCTGGGAGTGGGACGAGGTAAGATTTTGTTTTATTGAGGATCTTAACTAATGGCTTGCTTGACTTTCTGACCAATCAAATGCCTGAGATCTGAGTTTGAGCTATAAGAATTACTTTACAACCACAGACTCTGATTCTTTAGCATTAAGGTCACTCTCATAGATTTTTAACGTTTGGTCAGGAACACTTTTTTGTTGTTTTTTTTCACTTCCTTCATAAATGTTTATATGAAATAGCGTTTGATATCATAACCTACATGTACAGATATATAATAATGTATTTAATGTGTTTTTCAGCATACTGGTCTTATGAAACATACCAACTATGGTAAATGTGTGGAGGCAGGAGGAGATAACAAGCTGCATTTAGTGAGGTGTGACCCAGCTAAATCCTCACAATCATGGACAATAAATGAAATAAAAACTTGGCAGAGATGATGATTTAAATTACACACTATTAAAATTATCGTTGTCCAGGGCGAGGCTATTGTATCTGTGACTTTATTTTATATATAGTTACAATATTCTTGCATTGAGACGAGGTTATACTATTTGTTAAAGTGGCAGGCTCTGAAATTGATATCACCCACCACTATTCATTTTTAGTCATGTATAGAAATTGTGTTAACATTTGTTTCATCATGCTTATCATAGTCTTAGATAGTTAACTAGCAAATGATGAAATGATTGTATAGATATGACGCATTACTTTACAATGTTAGTAATTGCTGCAAAATCATTTTTATTTGTGGGGCAATAATTTTCGTGATTTTCGAGGATAGGACAATTCACGAATTTAACATCCAACGAAAATTTATTTTTCTGCTGTAAGATTATTTTGTATCATATATACATTTTACCTTTTTAAAAAAATAGACAATTTAAGAACCTACAAAAATGTTCTGTGTGACAAAACCACGAAATTTCATGCCTACGAAAGTAAGTAAATTCACAGTACGCAATTCGTAATTGTTTTTTACAGATAAACATTATCTTATACTTAACACATAATATTTTGATGCCATAAAACATAGGATAAGGGTAAAATAAATTGTGATTACATATTATTATTATTATTATTATTAGATGTTGAAAAATTTTATGCCACTACATGTATTTTTGTTTGCACTAACTAAAGGTTACTATGTTAATTCAATTATTGTTTTTTTTTTTTTTAAATGAAATGTAGTTAAGCATGAATCCAGAGGTCATTTACTATCTGTTTAAATCAACAGGAGAAAGTGATGAATCAAATTGTGTGAAGTAATTTCTTACCATCTCATTTATTTTTGCTTCGAAGTTGTATATACCGGTATGAGTTTTGATGGCACTGTTTAACTTACATCCTTTTGTGTCTATTTACCAAAGAAGGGTGATTTAGATGCTTATAGAAAAGTGTGACAACTTTTCAGCATATTTGAAAGAAACATTCTCTATGATGTCATTGATGACATCATTTAATATGTCATTAATATTGTATGATGCTTTTGCGTACTTTACTCAAAATATTTAGCCTGCCAATTTAGAATAGATGCATACAATACATTTCATTTCCTATGTTTACAATATTTTTGTCAGTTTTGTGACACATTACAATTTCATACTTACTGTAAATTTCACTTGTATGTACAGAGTGGTGATGTAATGAAGAAGTTTTTGTTATCATGCAATTCATGGAATATTGATACTTGAAACATCTGTTACAGAACATGATACTGAGTTTTTATTAAGAATTACCATCTACCATTGTTATATATAGATTTTTATAATGTAGGAAGATGAAATGTTACCTGTAATATGATCTGCCCTCTAATAAATAACCTCTAATTACTGATTGTGTCAATAGAAAGTCGTGGTAACAGATGTGCTGAATTTGATTCATCCTTTTGATTAATGCATGCATACATGTATATGCAGACATTTATTGTCCCAGTTGTGAATGGTTTGTATTCAGTTTTATATAAATCATACATATTTGTAGTCACTACCTAGACAAGAAGGTGACAGATATGTATTTCAATTTAATGCCATGAAATCAACAGCTGGGTGTGTGGCATGTTGTTGGCTTTATTTTGTCTGTTTTGGCTCTCTCCTTCTATAAACTGCTTTTATCCTTGACCATAGAACTTTTGTGATAGAGACTGGAGTCTTCATAGTTAGACACAGCATTATTCTGGTAGAGAGCTTTATTTTGAGAAATCAACATGTGACCTTGACCCCTCATAATGACATTGATCCTCAGGTATGTCAATTTTTTTCTCAATTTATATTTGAGGGATACAAGGGTATTCTGTTTTAACTTACACATCTGGATAAGAAAAGGTATGATCATTAGGTACAGTCTGAGAGTGCAATTTACGTGATAGTTTCTATAATGAAATTTGGTATTTTTGTTACATCATTTAGTGTATTACCTGTAGAATGTGGTAGATGTACTTTATGATGTAGTGCTTACACTATGTGTTTTAAGTGTTAACATTATATAATATTTAGTGCTTACACTATATAATATAGTGCTTACACAGTGTGGTGTTATGTCTATAATTCAAAATGTAGTGCTACCTATGCTATGTAAATTGTTGTAGTGCTTGCACTATAATGTAGTGCTTGCTATTATGTAGTGCTTGCACTAAAAATTGTGATGTAGTGTCTTCACTATGTGATGTAATGATGTGGTGCTCACATTGTATAAAGTAGTATGTTTATAATATGATATAGTGCTTACACTGTGTTATGTAGTGTTTACACCATATGATATAGTGCCTTCACTATGTAATGTGGTGCTTACACTATAATCATATATTGCAGTTTTTTTGCTCTAGTAATGTTTACATTTGCATTTCTAGTGTTGTCACATAGTTTGTTTATTCGGAAAATAGCGTTCACTTCAGAATTTAGGGAGTTCAGACACTATAAACTATAGTGTTTAGTGCTTTTGGTATAGAGAGTGCTTTCACTATTTTTATCACTGAAGAATGAGTGTTTATTATTGAATATAGTGTTGCCTCTGTGTAAACCAGTGCTGTCACTGTAATAGTTTGTTACCATGTAATATATAGTGTTCACTTTGCTGCATTAAAAATATAAATGTATATTGTCACTATCTAAGCTAGTGCTATTGCTGAATTGATATTTAAACATGGAATATAGTGTGTTCACTATGTAAACCAGTGATGTCACTGTAATGGTATTATTACCATGTTATATAGTGTTTTTCACATTGCCATAAGGTGTTGGGATACTACTTAATTTTAGTGAAAAATGATATGTTACTTTTATATAGATAATGTTGATTTTTCATATGTTTAGAAGATATTTTTGAGAATTAAGTGATCTTCCATGGACTTTATTTATACACATTTATGTACATGATCTTATAACATTTATTTGACGCCAGACACTAACAGCTTTTAATTGATTTTTCTTTTTTTTCATGTTAAAACTATTTCATGTTAATCTGTTTACAGATATTCTTTGTTACGCTGTAACCTGCTGAATTTATGTAATGGATTAGCCCAGGCTTTGAATTTGGAACAGGCCATTCAATGTTTTAGGGATTTCAATATTAAAACACAAAAATTGAGCTACCACCAGTAAAGAACCTGGTCAGATTGCATGGAAGTGCCGGTTGGCTTGGCTCTATACTGGTGACCAAGGGTATTCATTTGCATTTTCAGCAAGTTACGAGTTAAAATGACATATGATTTGTTGTTTTTATCTAGATTGAAATTTTGTATTTTAATATATTAATGTAGGTTTACGTTACCACTTAATCAAATCTTGTAATACAGCAATACTTACAGGGAAAATCTTATTCTGATTTTAACAGCGAGTAAGGAAAATAAATTTTATTTTGATACATGAAATACCTGGGTTCATCAGTGAAATATATGTATAATTTATATCACTTACTGTGATAACTCATTGGTGAAAATAAATAAAAAGTAAATTTCTTCGTGTTTTTATTTATTTTTTTTCTTTTACTATAGGATCATAGTAAGGGTAAAATTTTACACAACCAGCTTAAAAATAAAAATGTCTACTTAACATTACTAGACTGTGCTAGGTAGCATGATTGTTCCAATATATAAAATCACTACATAAGGCAGTCAATTTATTTTGCTTTGCAGGTTTTGAAAAAAATATTTGAAAACTTAACAATATAGGTTAGGTTAACCTGAAATTATTGTCTTGACTAGATATAGATTTGATTGACTACTGTATTATATTTATTTTTCTTTGTCTTCATTTATAAATTATGCTGGAAGTACAGTCTAGTCAACCTCTCATCTGGAAAGTTGTCATATCTGCCTGAAATTTATTTGATATGTCCCCCCTCACAGTTTTTGCAAAACTTCACTTATTGACATTTTATTCTCTGGCTTTTGAATACTAACATATCATTGGTCAACATATTTCCTTAAAGCTTATTTATGCTGTTTAACTTTTCATCTCATTGTTTAAGTATGTAGATTTCACTTTGAAAATTGAAAACAAAATCAATGTACCCTTTACAGACACATGACTGTTACCTCATGAAGAATTGTGTACAAGCAATTTAAGTCATTCTAACATTTGTTTTGTAAAAGACTTTTAGTATATGAAATTAATATAATTATATACAATTTCTTTGAAAAGTACTGTATATAATCAGTTCAATAAAAACAAACACTTTTCTTAGCTTTCTTGTTTATTTTATTGGAGGTATGGTCCTTTATGTCAGGTACTTGTCTGATATCTACAAATATTTTATGGTCATGAGTAAGAAGAAAATGGGGATATTTTGCATGGTTTTCAATAGGTATTGTAATATATGTATTTGTTAAACTTACAGTAACTGTTCAACAATTGATATTCTTTTTCCACCATCAATATCAATTCAAAATTGATATTTCACATGAAGTTTAGTTTATTTCTCTATCAAAGCCATTACCATGACACTGTTCATAAATAATTATTTGCCATATTTTTTTTAGCTTACATTTATTTGACATTACACTTACTTGTCATTTTGACTTAGGTTGCTGGCAGGATTTTTATTACATTTAGCATTAATTTCTATAAATTATACTATTCAGGAATCATTCATGAATTTCTGTGTTAAATTGAACCAGTATTATATCATTCATGTTAATATTAATAATGCACTAAGACATATTCTACAGTATTTTTTCTTCTATCGGGGTATGACAAAACAGAAACTAAGAATAGACAAAGAAAGTTGGAATAGGTTTATCCTATTCATAGGGTTAAGATATTTTATAAAATCTTTTAAGGGAATTTGTTGAGTGTTGTTAACAGATATGTTTAAGAAGATAATTATGTTTTCAAACAGACATAAAATTTTGAAATATAGATACCGTGTTAAAACAGCTGATAGTTAGTTGTTGTTGTTTTTTTTAAATCTATCCTATACATATATACATGTACTGTTCTTTGTAAATTTTGTTTTTGTTGTATATACCAATTAAAGATGACTGTTAAACCACCAAATTATCATGTTGAAACTATTCCTTGTTGTCATTTCTTCAACTTAAACCTTATCATGCTAAATACCTAAAATGGACTTATCCATCTTCATTCTGGTCAAGTCCATTCATAAATAACAGGGAAAATTTCCAAGAATAGTAAACAGTGCAGACCATGATCAGACAACATGGCATGGCTGGCTGAACTTGGTCTGCACTGGTTGCATGGGTAGAATCAGTTAGTCACTAGGCCAAGGGTTAATGCATTTAAATAATAATTTGTTTTAAAGATACATTCATGTTTTTAACAGTGTTCTGCTCCCAGGTTTTTCTACCACTGGTGTTTATGAAGAAAATTTGAAAATGGGCAATTTTATTCCAATATTTTTCGCGATGTTTAATCTAAATCTGATTTTGTCATTGTATGTTTGTATTAGACTGGAAAAAAAGTCAGTGACAATAAATGTTATATTCTGAAGAGTATGGTATTCTCAATTCTTAACAAAAACATTCCGTAGTCCATTTTGGCACAATATTTGTGCACATTTTATGGAAACATGTAAAATGTCCAAAGATTTTGAATGTTGCTTAAAACAACAGTACCAATAATTATTTTCTTTTTGAGAAAAAGAAAGAAACGTTTTAAAAGTGTGAAAAGCAGTAAATATTTTAGTATGGAGGAAAACTTTTACATTCATTTATACAAATCTACAGAAAAAAAATCAAAAAAGAAAAAAAAATCCAGACTACTTTTCGTCCAATTGAAAAAGTATTAAAGTTAAATCTGATATTGAATACAGTATACTGGTAAATAACATAAGCTGCTTGCCTATGTATCAGTGATATTGTCCAGCCAGGGAATAGGATGACATGGGTTATTTTCAAAATATCACAATCTGTCGGCCTTAGTATTTGTTGGAAAAAAACATAAAAAAAGCAAAATTAACAAAATGTCAGTTATAAAATAAAAATCAAAAGATTTTTTATCAGGTCGTCACAACTTCTGCTTTGATTTTTTTACTCAAAGGGACACAATTCATACTCTTATGACATGTATAGTAACAGCAGAGTTATGTCACTTGGCTTCCAATCATAGTTTGCTAATTTGTACAGAATATGCAAAAAATGTTTTTAATTTGCATTTGTGTGAAATTTTCAGCTCATGGTACTCAATAATACTAAGCAAAAGGGAGGTAGTAATGATACTCCAGAATGTTGCCTCTATAAATCTATGGGCAATATTTATTTTGTTTATTTTAGAACCAAACAATTTAATAATGTCGATACTGGTTTAATTTCCTAATTTTTAATAAAAGTAACTAGGTAAACTAATTCTATAAGAAACAAAAAAAACTAATTTTATAAGAAAAACAAAATGCTCTTTATTTCAAAATCTCAAAATAATTAGACTAATGAAATTATTGCTTGTCAGTAGGCATTGTCATTTTGCAATGTGTTTAACTTTCAAACAAGAGACTTTTTCTCATTTTTCATTGTATGTAGAAGTTTTATAAGCCATAAAAATTTGAACCCTTATTTTTCAAATTGTTTGAAATTATTTTTTGAAATTATTTTTGCCCAGCTTTATTGTATCTATGTCCAGTTTAGAAAGTAAAGTCAAATCTATGTGAAATTTAGGAGTGTTTTCTTTTCCCTCTGCTTTGAGATAAAATTTTATTATATACTTATAAATGAAATATTGATGAAATAAAATGTGTATTTTCATTTTCCGTATTTTCACTGTAAAAATTTATTTTTCGCTGCAGTGAAACATATTTTCCGTATTTTCACTGGTGTCTTGCCGGACTACACATGTACTTTCTTTTAAATTCTGCCAGTACACAAAATTTAAGGGAAAGTCTTTCAAATTTTATCGCAAAAAAGAGAAAAATGTATTTAATAAACAGAAAATTCAAGTTTTTTCTATAAATACATGATTTATTTTCATCTTGTGGCATGAAAATTACCATATTTCACTTGTGGCTACCGCCACACATGAAATTTTTTTTTTCATACCACTCGATGAAAATAAATCATGTATTTATAGAAAAACACTTGAATATCCTCTATGTATTATTTTAAATAATAAGGGGGACATTGGCCTTTGCTATTTGAGGAAATGATATCCTGTAGTGTTTTAATGTTAAAGTATCTTATCTTGTTGTGTTATAATGTTGTTGATTTTATTGGATGTATAAATGTTTCAAATTAATCCAGGTGATGGAATGAATTGTTAAAATTATTACTGAATAAGTACATAATGTATCATTTAATTTATTTGTTGACTATGATTTTTATATATGAGCCGTGTCATGACAAAACCAACATAGTGCGTCTGCGACCAGCATGGATCCAGACCAGCCTGCACATCCGTGCAGTCTGATCAGGATCCATGCTGTTCGCTATCAGTTTCTCTACTTGTTATAGGGTTTGTAAGCGAACAGCATGGATCCTGAACAGACTGCGCGGATGCGCAGGCTGGTCTGGATCCATGCTGGTCGCAAACCCATTATGTTGGTTTTGTCATGACACGGCTCATATATGCATTGCAAGAACAATGTCTTGTTGTTAAATATATATTACACATATTGTAAAATGGAGGTTCACCTCTGTCACTGATACAGCTGATGTTAGATTTAGGTACTTTAATAAATAATCAGGAATATATTGTTCAGATATACATGTAGCTAGTTTACATTTGTTGATTCGTAATCAAGGGAACACTGATATACACCTTTCAGAAACAGAAGTAGTCTTTTTTTAAAAGGTGGTCTCTTGATACAGGTTAATATAATCTGTTAAATCTGGTTAAGTCTGGTTACATTGTATTTAACTCTTGACAAAGTATTACCTATTGTCAAGGAGGTCCCTAAAACTCCCTTTATATAGGCTAAGTCTGTATGTTATTTGGGGGTTGGATTTAATTCTAGAGTTAATAAAGTGTGATGTTCATAATCATAATATATGGCTGCTTGATACAGGCTAATTTAATATGACATATTGTCACCCCAGTGCAGTATCAGGTTAACTCCTTATATAATTTAATAGGAGTTAACACATTACTGCACTAAGGTGAAGATATGATATGGGTTTGGCTTTAGTTCTTTGGTGTTCTTGGGTGACATTTGAGCCACGTCACTACAAAACCAACATAATGGGTTTGCGACCAGCATGGATCCAGACCAGCCTGGGCATCTGCACAGTCTGATCAGGATCCATGCTGTTCGCTATCAGTTTCTCTACTTGAAATAGGGTTGGTAAGCTAACAGCATGGATCCTGATCAGACTGCAAGGATGCGCAGGCTGGTCTGGATCCATGCTGGTCGCAAACCCATTATGTTGGTTTTGTCATGGCACGGCTCATTTAATGAGTGTTGGTTATTTTCACAAGGTTATCTGTATGGACAAAAGAATAGAATAAATTCCTTTATTTGTTCCATTGTAGGTAATGAAATATGGGCATGACCTTAATTAGAATAACCTTAACCTTCAAGATTAAATTTTCTTAATTCAGGAAATTTCACTGATTTTTTTATTTATTTTTTAATGATTTTGATCAGGGCTTTTATGTTTGTAAAAACACTTTGTTTTATGATTATTTTTATCGATCAGCTCTTTTTTTCTTTTCTTTTTCCATCAATTTGCTCATTTTGACTTTAACATTTCATAGAGCAACATTCCAAGTTTTTTTTTATTGTTATGTGGCGACAGTTTTATAGATCTTTGAAATATTTTAATTTAGATCATTCAGTTTTATATTCAGTAGTTAAGTAATTGTGTTTATGTTATAAATATTTCATTCACCTGTCTCACAAGTAAACTGTCATCAATTTATACTCGTATAATTATTTGAAAAATTAGAATATCTAAATTTGCTCTTACATAATTGCATAAGATTTTGGACTGGTTTTATGGTTTAATACAAAAGGTTGTAAGCATATATATTATATATTAACTCAAGCTGTTTGGTGAGGGTTATATAGCAAACAACTGTTTATAAATGGTCATATATAACCTGTCAAAAATCTTTAAAATGAATTTATAATACTACACAATTTATTTTGGTTAATAATTCTTAAATTTTCAGCAGCTGTGTTTATAAATAATATAAATATCATAAATATCATTGTCATCCAATCAAAACTGATGTTACAAACATGCAGTGATATGAAAAAAACACCTTAGAATTGGACTTCTATGCATTTGTATATTATTTTATTCATTTTTACGTCATGAAGATTAGCATGTTATTTTGTGTAAGCCTAAATCTTTGAATATATAATGTCCATTTTAAGTTATACATTTATGTCAATGGTAATAGAATTACTGACTTACATGTATGTTAAACCATTTCTTATGTGTTTTAATGTATAGGATTTTTTTAAATAAATATTGGAATTTTGTTCACCATGTTGAGGGGTTTTGCTATTGTAATTACATGTTTATATTGATGGACTTGCAATAAATTTGCACCAAATTTTTTTTTGTATATGATCATCAGAATATGATGTGATATTTTCTTGATTTGGCATTACCGCAGAAATATAATATGCAAGTATTTAAATCTTTCTTGTTATTTTAAGTCATGTATTTGTTATTTCAAAACAGAGTATAACATTGTCAACACCATTATAAATTTTACCCTTTGAATGGCCACACTGGTAGGGACAGGAGTCAATCCAAAAGTACCTACTTTTTCCAATATTTTCTGTTTCTGAAAGGTAGGTCTAGCTCAAAGAATTATAGATATATGTATGAAATAATCAAATTTATATTGTTTTATATACAAAGGGATGCGGTTTTATAAATTAAATTACATTAACTAGGATGAATATACCTTTCTACTATCTAGTCATAGATTAAAATGCAAGATATAGGCGTACAATAATAGTTTTTATAAATAGGTAGCAAATATAATGTACAGAATAGACAATTATGTGATATTGGTTCAGATATTTGGCAAATGTTTAACTTATTTATTGATAGATGAGGGGCATATTGTTTTTTTTTTTATTTTGTTTCTATTTTGCTTTTGTCTGTATATCTTCAGACATTTGCTTAAGCCATAATATCATTTCATAAGCTGAGAGCCTTCATTCTTTGATACAACATATACTTTTATCTAGATTATCCAAATATGACCTTGACCTGATATAAAAGGTCGGGTTTTCAAAATAAAATTCTTATTTGTTGACAGTTAATGAACAAGAGTACTTACAGTTTGTACGGACATCTTTTTTCATAAGTTCTAGGACCATATTTTTGAGGATTGTATTTACAGGAATGACTTAATTAAGAATGTACTACAACTTTTTCTCAGAAAAATATTTTAAAGGGACTCCACTGAGGTTTTTTGACATGACAGGAATGAAATTAATGTTTCAAGTTTAATGTTTCATTTGATGTAGGTCTAGACCAATAACTTGTGTGCAAAATTTCAGATCATTTGCTTGCTCCATTTTTCCAGAATAATCATTATT